ACCGACACAGGTAACCTACAAGAGATCACTACTTGGGACAAAATAATTGTACAATATAACAGTCAATCCAAACTTTTTAAGAAAACATGAGGACCTCTTTTAAACCCCTACATTTTTCACAGACACATCTGTTTCTACATGATAGAACTTGTTGATTGAGAAAGTACTTTATGGAATAAGTATAAATTTAATATAATAATTTAATTTAATTAATTTAAAAATGAATTTGTATAGGACATCTGCTTGTTTTCCACATCCTTCCGCACTCTTCTTCCTCTCAGGCAAGTGGACAGGGATTTCAAGTTTGCGTCATTATTTCCTAACCTAGGTCACACTCCAGCTCTGATTGAACCTTTGCTGCTATTCCACCTTCTGAGCTCCTAAAAGACAAATGCAGGACTGCAAATAGCACCCACTCAGCTTGCCAAGAGCGGCACAAGTTTATCCCTGACGTACAGAATCAGCAGCTTTAAAAAGCACCCACGTAAATTCTACATTTTAAGGGAGGCGGCATCACAGGCAGGCCTTAGACTTGAGATTCGTCTTCATCTGTGACACTTCCTTCCAAAGGCCCCAATCACATCACACGTTGCTTGTACATATGTGTGTGTTTGTTTAAGGGAAGGTGTGGAGAGTGGGACAAAGGGGATACTTGAACTTTATTTGCCTTGGGGCTGATGGAAAATCATAGCAGTTGTACTTGAGATTCTGAATATAAGTAAATATATACACAGATAGAAATAGGTATAGAACTATAAAAACAAAATGGTGCAAATTATTTGGAAATTAAGAGAAATACCTATCATGCTCCCATCCTAATATCTGTCATCACTTACATATATCTTCAATGCTCTTCCAGGGGTAACTCTCTATGTTGTTGTCATTTTAATTCTTGCATTCCTGGCGATGGAAAAAAAGTCTCACTCTCCCCACCACCAGCCCCACCCCGACTCCTGAATCTGTCTTTCCAGAGGTTGGGAAAGGTAGAACCATGACGGAGAACATGAACAGACATGGTACGGGGACTCCCTCTTTCCTCTAATCCGGCTCCCTATCTTCCTCCTGGCCGACAACCCACATGGTGCTCCCACACCCACATTTGTCACTGCCACTTCTTCTCCCTCTGTGTTATCATCTGGGTATGCTCCCCTTTCTAGTCCAAGAATACCACTGGCTAAAATGCCCAGTGTCCATATTAACTTTGGCTTTCTGGATATAGCAATCTTGCCTTTGTCAAGCAACATGTGTCAAACTGACTTAATCCTTGTCCACCCAATTCTGTACCATAACACCAGAAGACTTTAGATGGTGAAAGATGGTGGTGGGCAGGCAGTATTGTAGGATATCCTTTCAAGAATATTCAGGGAATTAGGTAATGCAGCCAACAGTGGACAACTGCTGTTTCTGCCTTCCCAGGGTCCATTCTCTCCTTTGTAAAAACATACAGCTTTTCCTTTGAGAATCACTTTTCTGTTTCCTCTTAATCCACACAATTTGGGTGAGGCTGACATCCCTACCACTCCAGGGATGAGAACAGGACCCAGATCTGGTCAATCAAAACATTCCAGAGTCAACAAAGGGAGACACAATTCTGGGGGACTTTTTTTTTTTTTAAATATTGGGTAGAGAGAATCCCTCTGTCCACTAGAGTTGCTGAGAGAATTGAATATTAAAGAGGATGCCTGCTGGAGATGGGCAAGGACACCCAAGAAAGCAGAACTGAGAGCTGGGAGAGAGAGCTGATGACACAAGTTCCTCAGTTTGGTTTGGTATACATAGCAGCTCTAGGCTCTGACAGTCCTAAGGCAGCCGCCTCTTCACTGCACCCTAACTAGATGGGTCCTGTTGGAACCTGGTGACTTCACAGAGATGCCCGTAGGCCCTCTTTTTAACTCTGTAACATTTGTCACAGGGCAGTCTGACCCCAACCTGTGTACAGGTGCCGTATCTTGTGCTCTGGTCTTCTAGCTGAGTATATCCAAGTACCAGATGTAAAGATACACACTGACTCATGTAGACATTAACATGTTCAGTGGAAGACTGCTTTGAATCCTCACCGGGGATTTAACAGCAAAAAGAATCCTAAGCCTTTAATACTTAGTCGCT